AGAAAACTGGATCGTTTTAAGATATGTCTGGTACTACGAAGACCCATATATAGTTATCCCAGAGCATCTTCGAGAATTGGGTCTCATTGAATAAAAATAAAACTTTAAATGTAATGCCAATTGCACGAATACATTGTTTAATAAATCACTTATTTTTTCGATGAAAGAGAAAATCAAATTTGGGCAACTAACAAACTTTTTTTAATATTCTTACAGCAATGCTAAACTACTACATAAATTACATTGAGATATTACATATACCATATAAGAATACGCTATGCAATAGTTTCTTAAACCATCTGTTATATTAAACATCATAAGCATAGAAAATTTCTTCTCGAATAATGGAGAAATCCAATACAATAGGATCGGGGAGAATATGTCGAGGAATTCGGACATCAGAGCGTGCTTGATAGTAAAGACAATCCAAATCAATTTTGATGAGGCATACGCCTCGTGGAATGTTCAACGGATTCCCGGCTCCATCGTGAGTGCCAAACTCGAACTAATAATAATAAACCATTCATATTAAAAATTTTGAAAAATTGATAGAATAGATAATTTTTTCTATATTTGACATTACGTGAGTTCGATGCGGAAGATCTGCTCCTCTTCTTATTCTGTTCCTAGAACAAAAATGCCATGCCTACATGGGTTTTGTTGTTAGAATGATACACAAGCAATAAAATGCCACTTACACTTTTAGGAAGTATAACTTACTTGCATGCGTGAAGGCATTCTGTTCTCAGGAACTGGATCGATTTTAATAACTATCGCATCATGCACACGACTAAAATCCATTAGCCAGTAATTTTTTACCTTTTCGAAAACGTGATCTATACTTTCAGAACATGCGACTTCTACGACGATATTTGGCCATGGTTCATTCTGAAATTGTGAAATATAAAGTTATAATGCCAAGGGTTCCGAACCAATAGAAAAAATAAAAGTACCTCTCCATCGCTTCCGGATGGTGCTGGTACTCGTGGTTTCCTTGGACGAAATGACGCATCTGCCTCCTTTCCAGAATTATCATCACGAGTTCCTTTAAAAAAGATTAGTTTGATATCGTGAAATAGGACTGAGATAGTTAATTAATTGATGCTTACGAGTTGCTCCAAAGCCTATAATTCTGGCATTGGTATCGTCAGCATCACCACAGCTCTTATTAAAATACTTAATAATCGCGCTAATGCAAGTTTCATGTGGTTTTAATGGAAGTTCATAAACCGAGACTTTATAATTTGTCCATTCCCATAAACCATGAACGTTAAACTCGTCGGTGCGACGTTCGTACTCTTCCAAAGTCACGCCCTCAACGAGCACGTATGGAAGCCTTATTGTAATCAGCCAAAATTAGTCTTGCTCATATATAACCAGCCCACCATGAAAAAACTTACTTAGCTTCTTCCCACTTTGCTTCTGGGTGAATATTTCCTTCCGTCCACCATAGGCTTCGAAAATAGGTATAATCCGGCATTTTTTGTATTGAAACAGTGTCATCGGTTCTGGCATTAATAACTGGAAGGTTAGAAAAAAGCAGAAGTACCAGTTGAACGTAATTATCTACTCACGCTGTCGTAATCGAGCTTTGTACGCTAACATTGCTAATACTGTAATATCCAGAATCTGGGACAGTTTCAATGGACATTTTTATTAATATTTTTGGGAATGGTGGCTTCAGAATTCCCATAAGCTGGCTCCTTTTTCCTGATTTGCACGATGCAAAAAAGTTGTGTAAAGTTTCACGGGTGTCATGAGATGTTTATTTTACTTGATATGACTAAATTATTTTAATTGAACATATTTGTATTACTAATAGCAGTTATAGCAGTTACATAATGGTTATATATATGTTAGATTGAAGTAGTCATGTCTTAAAATGATTCGATTAATGGATTCACTGTCACTAGCTTCATCCTTTATTATTGGATTTCTCTTCCAAGCTTCATTAACTAAAGAAGGTGGTAATTTATTAATCAAATCCGAATAGGCTTTATTAAATTTCATGATACATATACTATCGAGAAACTAATATTGTATTTTACAACGCAGAAAAAATTGAAATCTTTTATGAAAATTATGAAATATACATCAAGTAAAAAAATAGCTATATATAAATATGTTATACATTAATAAATAAATAAATATATTAATCGAATAAATAGATGTGTATATTATACATTATTAATTTGTCGCATTTCTTCTCGAACGGTCCATAATAATTGGTAATGTAATGCTAATTCTGAAGCGCAGAGACCATCTGGTCTGTAGAAATACTCTAGCCATTTTTCTTGTATTACCTTTACAGCTCTGATTTTTCTACCAATTTCTCTTGCACGTTTAACTCTTCTAATAACATTCTGCATTCACAATTCATAACGATGAATCGCTTCTTTTTCGAAGTAGGAGTTACTGGCTTCGGATTTGCTTTTAAGTTCCATATAGTCTTTATAACTAATATCACAATAAGCATTTCCTGTACATTTTGTACTCCAATGCTTTTCGATTGTAGATCCGTGATATTCTCCATAAATGCATTTTCGATCAACATAAACAAGCTAATCACAATTATGACATATTGCAATATTCACTTCAAAACCACTGCCAAGATCACCTTCCCATAAATATAGCATCTTCCTAGCAACAATATATCGCTTATGAGATTCAACTAAATAATTATATTTTCTATAATTCATTAACTAATCCCAGATTCGTTTCATCCAATCAGATGGAGTTTCACCTTTATGGATCACTGGAAATTGACAATTATCTCTCCACTCAATATCGTTTAAAACTGGACAACCATCTGTATAGACCATATTT